TAACTGGTACACTGTGTTACAGAACTGGAAATGAGACAATGAAAAAGGTATACTTCAAGCCAAGGAATTATTCAGAAGTTTACAGTATCCCTGAACTATAAATGAACAACAATGTCTTTAGTTATTGTTTTTTGTCTGTTTATTTTCTTCAATTTTTAAATTCTAAGGCCTTTGGTTTTTACCACCAGTGAGAAATAAAAAGTGCTTTTGAACTAAAATTGACAAAATCCTTTATATTTATRTTGGTCTGTATAACTCATCGATGTTTTTAAACATTTAAAATCTCTTTTACTGAAAAAAATAATGCATATAAAATTTTAAAGATTTACATAACAATATGWGTCAAATTTACATGTATTGATAATCCTACCACACAGAAATGATAATCAAATTAATCACTCATATAWTTTTCACCCTGTGATCAGAACCAGCCCTAGAGATTATGAGAACCAGAGCTGATAATTGAGTATATTGGCTTTCTTACAAAATTTAAATATGGATGAAATCTGGTTTATATAAAAAATACAAGGAAGCCCTAAATGAACAATAAAACTACCTAAAGTGGCCATCACAAGCCACTATATCCTTTAGATACTGCTTAAAATGTACATTCAGCATCAGGAAATACWGCTTAAAAGGACATTTTATTGAACTAGCTAGGTAATTCATGAAGGATGGTAGTTTAGGATCCAAATCTAGAAAGTGGTAGCAGATGCCCTCAGTAGTAGTACTGTTTAGGTGTTGGTCACAGAGTGGTGTTGTCTCCATAGGAGCAGAGTTTATGGATTCTCTGAAGTGAAAGAAAAATCAAAATAAAGCACAGGCAAAGAACCAAGAAGCCTTGAACAGTTCATTTAAGGCCACAAAATACCCTAATAAATGTGTCCATTATTCCACGGCAGGTTAAGTCCTAAGTGAACTAATCTTTAATGCTRGGAGCTAAGAACAAACAATGTCAAGTAAATAGATTTACCCTCAGGTTTTTCTTGGGGTTTTTCATTTGTTTTTGGTTTTGGTAGTTGGAAATGTATTTGTGAGTGGAAAGATCTCAGGTTGATGCATTGTGTCAAGAAGACACTACTGTTAATAAAAAATAGCTCTGGCCATAAAAATAATCCAGTGCCCACTTGATGAAGAGTCTCCATATAAATGCAAACCTAAGTGGAAATTGCCAAGTTGTTACGTACTAGAGAATGCCTGCTGATTTGCTTTTCCTACATGTACAGTGGTTCCAGAATGAAAGCTTACTGCATTCAAAAAATCTTTTTTAAAACATGGAACAATAGGCAATTAATTTCTCGTTTAAAGTGACTCTTTTTCACAGATGTGTCTGTAGATAAATAGTGTGAGAAATACCAAGTCTGGTGGTCCATTTTCAGAATATAGTATTCAGCCTTAATTGGATCTAATTGTAGCCCTTCCCTTTTGCCCGACCTAATTCTAATCCTTAGCCAATCACGTGGATTGTAACTCCAAACTCCCCAATCAGAGTGAAGGGCAGCGCTGCCATTAGGTCAGACTGAAGCTGGCAGACTGTTTGGCCAGGTGTGTTTGCTAGCCAGGTTCCTGAAGTACAGCCTTTGGCAGAAGTTTTGCCTTGCCCACCAGCTTTCCAGCACGCATTTGATTTCTTACTGCACCTAGTTATTTCTAAAAAACAGACTCATGATTCTGACTTTCATAAACACCATAAATTCAGTGGCAGATCCCACAAGCCCAGTCTCCCTATATGAAGGTGTTTTTCCTGAGCACCTCTTGATTTTGTTCAGTAAGATCACATATTGCTTCTTTCTGTTAGTCCACAGAAAGTTCTCAATAAATATTTTCAGTGAATACTGAGTTAAAGGAGGATATAGAGAACACACTGACTCACCAAAATAAGTTCCTTAGTTACAATCTGCAGGAACCAAATCCTCTCTAAAGCAAAAAAAAAAAAAAAAGAGAGAGAGAGAAAGAAACCAGGAAGCTCACAAAATCAAAGATTAGAAACCCAAAGGTCAGGATACACATCCCACCAAGTCACCTGATGTCAATGAATCATTTTGCATAACTCCCCCATGATTTTTTAAATTCCTGATTTCAAAAAAAAAATCAATTGACAAAAGTCAAACTCACAGTCTTTAAATGCCAAGGTGGAAGAAGGTAAGAAGGAGGAGCTAGAGAAACAGAAGGTGGCATTGGAGGAGGGCAGGCGGCAAAAATTTGCATCTGGTTTCCAGAGATTAATTGCCAGGCAGTTGGCCTCTTAGGAGTATGCAGCTGAAATGAAAGAGAAGTCACCGAAACTAGGTGTGGCCATGAGCAAGCTGCTTTTCAAAGATAAGGTGGGAACTGAAGGGCTTCCTGGAAAACATGACAGATCTTTACTTTTTTTTTTTTCCTTTCTAGAACTTGGTCTCATTCCTTACCACATTTTATCAGTATACCTCAGCTTGATGAGCTTAGGCATTAATAAGTCTTCCGTTCCGAGTAAGCATTTGATAGCATTTTTAACATTCACAGGCACCTGATACKTACCAAGCTCTTTTCATGTGCTAACTATAATAATCCTTTGAACAGTCCAGCAAGGTAGTTTTTTCTCCTTTTTTCTTCTCCATAAAATGACCACCAGTTTATTCCACCATATACTTACTCCCCACTTCCATCCACATACCCACTAGAGACCAAGGCAGTAGATCTGCTCAGTCTTTGACTAAAGCCTCCAAAACTGTGAACCAAAATAAACTTTCTTTCTTATAAGTTAATTGTCTCTGGTATTTCATTATTGTGATGGTAAGCTAATACAGAGGGATATTTGTGTGGGTTAGGAGAACAGAACTTGTGGAAAGAGTGTTTCAATTAGAGAGAAAATCATGCACAAGGATCTAAATTAAACAGCTCTTTTCCAGGTCATACATGATAAAGCATATGAAAGTCTACATTCAGAATAAAGGCAACAAACCTGAACTCCTCCAAATGAACAGACTGAAGTCAAATCCCTCAAAAACCCTTTCACCTGTCCAGATAGAAACTTCTGTCCTCCGTGTGCAGAGTGATTACTGAGCTGATGAAAGTGTCACATAGAAACTGTGATGTAATTGATCCTGTGTTACTTTACCACTTCAATTTATTTGAGCCACATTGATTTTGTTTAGAATGTTTTTGCTCTGTATTATTTTTTACTTGGTTTTCACAAATACTTGTATAGTTTATTAATATAAATACGTAAAGTATATGACTTGCTGGAGTTCTCATGAAGACTCTTTAGACCACTACAAAAGAAGAAATCAAGTATCAATGTCCATGGAAGTTTTCAGAGTTAGGGTTTTGAGTCCACCCGTGACGTGCCTATTATAAAGAACAATGGAAACAGCCATTTTTTTCAAGTCTTTGGGTTATACATTTATGAAATTTCAGAGATCATTTAATCCTAATATCTTCTGTTCCATTGTGGGAAAATGTACCAGAAAGACACACACACACACACACACACACACACACATTTGCTGTTATTTTTTTAAATAAAAGTTTATTATGTTGTAGTATCTAGCCTACCAGTCATTTGTATCTCTCTTCTACATAGTTTTTATAGAATCTTTTGGAAATAGGCATTAGTGAAAGGAATTTTATTTCACTGCTAGCTCTAAGTTCTCAAACACAGCCTATTATGCTATGAGGGAAATTTCAGATTAGAGACTGGAATCTCTCCATGCATTTAGTAGTTTTGAATTGCTTATGGTCTTATTTACACCATCAGGATAATAGATCCACTATGTACTTGCTCATATTCCTTCTCTCCTTTTTTAAGACTAAAATGTATATCCCAATGCATTTGTGTATGTGTGTATATATTTGTTTATTTGTAAATACATTTGTGTAAATCAGAGTAAGAAGTCAAAAATATTGTGTTAAATAAACAAAACTGCTTTTTACAGTTCTATCTATTCCCCATTGCCAGTGAGATACTATTCAACAACTGGCATCCTGCAAATTGAATATAAGACCCTTAACAGTTGAGCCCAGCTGAGAGTACAGCTTTATATTCACTCCTCCACTTCTCACCTGTGCTCCAGCTTTGTTTAACTCATCGATATTCCTCAAGCAYGCCATGTTCTTCGAAGACCTGTGCTGTTCCTGCTACCAAAGATTCATTACTTTTTTATTTTCCATATCAATATCACCTCACATGTTAGTAGTCTTGGCCCAAAGCAAAGTGTATTATAGTTGTTAGTCTCTATAATAATTTATATTCTCTAGTACTTTTATAACCACCATTCACAGTAATTTATTCACATATGTACATAACAGTAGACCTTTTACTATTTGTTTTTCTACCACCATTTCCTTATATTTCTGCCTTCCTAATTTCAAATTTCTTCTTCATGGTTCTGTTCTATATTTTGCTTAAATTTGAGTCTCTTATACATCCGTGTGTAGTGTCTGGTATGTTATAAGCACTTAGGAAAGTTCTATTGCATTAGGTTAAATAGAATTCTAGGCACTTGTGCAATAGACCATTTTTATTAGTGCCATATGGTTATACATAATATTCAAGTTAATTGTGACATGATTAAACATGCATGAAATGTAATTTGCTCCATTTTAGTTCTCTTTCCCTCTCTTACTCCCTCCCCCTGTTCACCTTCCTTTACTTACTGAATCTCCTTTTATTTATTTATAGTTTTTTTAAGTGGTGCTTTATAGCTATACATAAGGTGAAATTCAAGGTAATATATTCACATAAGTACATAACAGTAGACCTTTTGATGTGTCCCAATCTACATTAACATAGAATAGTCCTGACTTCTTCCAATCTATAATGTATGTTCTTCAAACCAACATTCAAAATAATAATTAGATTACAGAGCATAACTTTCTAATGCACAGGGCATTTTAATCAGTATTGCCCTTTTTCTTTCTTGTGATGTCATCAGGGTGCCTTGAACATGCAGTCTAATTTCACACAGAGCTCAGCCCTCTGTTCTTATCAACCTCTTGCAGTCTATGAAAGCCTCAGTGTGTCTCTGTCCTTTGCCACAAACATGAGGTTCAGTTTTCCTCTCATGGCCTTAGGCCTGGAGGTGGGTATGATTGTTTTATTTGGATTATTTGCAGAGTATGAGACGGATCATGGTATGATATACCAACCCAATACCACCCAGATAACAGAATCGGAGAGATTCTTCCAGTTATATCCTCGTGAGTAGGCAATTTACTTCATATTATTTGTTTTGGGGTTCTTTGAGTTCTCAGAATGTGAAATCTTTGAATACTRTAATACTGTAAGCTCTTGAGCTCCTTGTAGAATATGTGACAGTTGCAAGTGCTGAGAGTATTGTGCCTTTCTCCTGGGGCACTTGATCTTCTTCTCTCCATGATTATGATGTTTGTTAGAATCTGTGTCTATTCAAGTGTCAGAACAAGAAGCTGAAAATTAAAATAATTGGTCAGTTTTTTTGTTGCTTACCACTGCCAGATGACTGTCTTTGTCCCTTGAATTGGCTACTCTTTCCATAAATAATAAAAATATTAAACCCCCTCACCATGACCACAAAGAGTTGAAGGTGACTTTGTAGGAGAGAGAATGGAAACAAAATGGAGTGATAGGAAAGGGATTCTGGGTCCCAGGTAGAGTCCTAAGGTGTGAGAAGGGGTATTTAAGATGACAGAGGGAATTTCTGAAATTCAGTTGAAGGAGATACACAAGGTTTTATAATATTTGAAAGAAAAGCATTTTGTTCCTTTGAGATGAAAAGGAAATTGTGCACACCTGACACATGATAAAAGCAGAATCCTTCTCTGGTAATAGTGACTGAGGAGAAATTGGGTTTTAAGCATGGAAGAGGCAGGCTATGAAACAGCTAACATTGGTAGCTACACTTCACTCAGTGCTTATTATRAGCCATACATACTCATTAGCTTGCTGACCAGAAAGGGAGATGATAGTCATTATTACATAGATGGTTTATTTTTTTAAATAAGGTTCAAGTAATTTAAATTTTAATTATTTAAATTAGTAGCAAAGCTTATTATAATTTATAGTGTGTTTAAGCTGTTTAAAAACAATACCTGTGTTTTCATTCCTATGTTTTCTGAAGGAGTTAATAACATGGGGAGTCCCATGTAGAAATTAAGACCTAGAGTGACTTAGGAAAAATACAAAATTGAAAGTTAAGAGTATGTTAGGACTATAGGTCAGAGACTCAGACTCTAAATCTAGTTGCCCTTACACTGTGTAGATAACTAAGAGGGCTCTTGACTAAATAAACTTTATAATTTTCAGGTTAAAGAGCAATAGAAAAAAATCAGAATCATGCTCAACTCTGTATGCTTAGGTATATTTTATTTATTCATTCATTTATTCATTAGATAAATATATAAGTATCAAATATGTGCTATAGCAAATTTATTCAAAGAGAAAAGAAATACAGTGCCTTAATTGTAAAACCCCACTGGCTAGAACAGATAGCAAAAACATGAAATAAAATATAATAAGCAAAATGCCAAAAATATGATCTAAGATTGTTATTCAAATAAAATTGTATTGAGACCTTAATAATTTTCTCACACAAACTAAACTTTCTAAGTCCCAAGTCTAATCTCCTAAGTAACATTTTAATTCAGAATTTGAAACAAAAGATAATGCTAAGTGAAGCTAGACAATCCCAAAAAACCAAATGCCAAATGTTTTCTCTGATATAAGGAGGCTGATTCATTGTGGGATAGGGAGAGGGGGCATGGGAGGAATAGATGAACTCTAGATAGGGCAGAGGGGTGGGAGGGGAAGGGAGCCAGTATGGGGTTATAAATGATGGTGGAATGTGATTGTCATTATTATCCAAAGTACGTGTATGAAGACAGGAATTGGTGTGAATATACTTTGTATACAACCAGAGATATGAAAAATTGTGCTCTATATGTGTAATCCGAATTGTAATGCATTTCACTGTAATATATTAATTTTAAAAAGACCAATGATAAAAAAGTTACCAAATTAAAGGTAAGTTACTAAAGATCTCAAGATCTGTCGTTCAGCATGTTTATGATAATGGATACTGTATTTCAAGCTTATAATTTACTAGGAGAATAAATCTGTAATCTTCTGACTATATACACTTACATATACTTGCAGTGGTAACTATGTAGAAGTCATGGACATGTTGATTAGYTTTATTATGATGATCATTTCACARTGTACATACATATCAAAATGTACAAGGTACACTTTAAATATATATAATGTTTATAATAATGTTTATATATCAATTATATCTTAAAACAGTTGTTTTACACATATATTCTAACAGTCACAACTCTATTACTTGTAGGGAATATATAAATTCCTTCATTTTATAATTTGTTAAGAAAATAGTTATTAAGTTCCTACTTCTTGTCAAGAATTTTTAAGGCCTTAGGTCCTAGGCAGTGACTAAAACAGGCAAAATGGGCAAAACCCATACTGTTATGAAGTATAGTTTCCATGGGGCAAAGGGGTGTGTGTGTGTGTGTGTGTGTGTGCACGCGCATGCACGCACGCACACACAATTGAAGGGTCATAAAATGCCTTGGCTATAAATGAAACAGGATTAGGAAAACTAATGCAGCAGGACGAGGATGTCTTTTCAACCTTTCTCATCCAGGGTAATATGAGAGATCTAAGTCCTAATATTCTTGAGTGCAATTAATTAAATTGTCTCCTGTGAATCTGGAATGATACTCATATGAGAAAAAATGAATTTGCATGAACATTTAAATATGTAGATGTACACATTTAGATGGTAGTAAGATGCCACAAAGTAAAATTTTCACAAGGCAGCCTTCATCAATTCAAAATGCTGCTCATTTTCTCATCTATACACAATACTCTCTGCTGTAAGAGTGACTCCCAAGACCTAAAATCCTAGATCATTCTAATATTTTAGCTCAGCTACATACACTATCCTTGTTTAACATATCTTGAATAGTAGAATAGTCTGAGAAACTACATGATTGTGGTTCAACATATATTTTTCCTACATTTGAAACAATTATACAAAGTTTATGTAACAGCATAAGTCATTGGAGAACAAATTGTTAATATTCATTATTAGAAAACAATGTTCAAGTCAAATCAGCAAACATTTCAGGTGCCTACCTAGTGCMATGCAAGTGTTCCAAGTGCAGGGATTCAAGCATAGTGAGAAAGCTCCTTTTACGTCTTAAGAAATCCAATGTATTACAATAGTTCTCAGTTGCAGGTTGGTGAAAGTTTGGGTTTTTTTTTTTTTTTTGCAAATAGGTATAATTACTTATATTTTACTTGCTTTAAAGTGGATACCAGTTTGTTCTCCACAACCCTGCCAACTTATATTCTGCTGTGCTTCTTTGAATAGAAGAAAAGAAACAGTGTTATGTGACCCTTGGATTTGTACACATTCCTATGCACAACTGTGGAAGTGTGATATAATCTGAATATCATGCTTCATGTTATGAATGACCTCTGAGATACTCACTTGAGAAGCTAGCTATGTCCTTTGGCTTCTGTGTACCTGCAAAAGTGTTGATCATTCTGTTGAGTCAAAGAATTTGACAAGAACTGAAGCCTGAGTTAATCTTTACTAACACATAAACAAATCAGAGAAAACTAGAGCTGAAAGAGAAGGCCCTTTGCGGATCCTTTACATCCTATTAGAAACTGCACAAATGTTGGGTCATTAGTATGTAAGGGACATTAAAACCATGTCAGTGATCTATTCATACTCTTGTTACACTAAAATCCCTTGGTATATTCATTCACTTTCAGTGGATCATGTACCTATGTGTAATTTTGTAATATTGTTCATTGTTGATTTGAAACCTATTGACTCACTGAGTTATACAGATCTTCCATGTGTTAACACATTGCATTACAAAATGTCAAAAAAAGTATTTGTTAATACCACCAACAATCTCACCAAAAAAGTATTAAGAAGTAAATAACAGAAACTTGATAAGCTTGTAGTGACAAATTTTTTTAAAATTCAAATTTTTTAAAAACTCAGAAGATTTCATGGCAACAAATACTGTCAATTATTTTAAATGATTGGCAATTTCATTTTATCCATTTTGTAAAAAGTATCTGCCAAATACCCAAATCTGAAATCATTTTTCCACATTTTTATTGGTATATTATAATAATACATAATAGTGAAATCTATTGTTACATATTCATAAATAAAAATAACATAAAAGTGAAATTTGGTCAGTATTGGCCCCCAGTATTTCTCCTTCTCCTCCTCTCCTCCTTCCCCTGGTTCCTTTTCTCTACTGTACAGATCTCCTTTCAATTTTCATGAGATCCCCCATCTTTATTTCCTTTTTCCTCTCTAGCTTCCACATATGAGAAAAACACACAACTCTTGTCTTTCTGAGTTTGGCTTATTTAATTTACATGTCAATCTTTCTTTCAAGTAACAATGGAATTCCTTAAAAAAGATTCTCAATCAGCAGCACAATTCACAATAGTCAAGCTATGGAACCAACCTAGGTGCCCTTCAACAAAAGAATGGATAAAGAAAATATGGTGTATATATACACAGTGGAGTATTATTCAGTCATTAAAAAAAGAATCACATTATGGCRTTTGCCAGTAAATGGATGGAACTGRAGACTATCATCCTGAGTCAGACTCAGAATRTCAAAGGTCAAATGTATTCCCTGATATGGGAAAACTAGTCCAAAATGAAGATGAAAAGAGCAAGAGAGAAAGGGAAAAGGGGAGGGGGAATTCCATCAAAATAGAAGCAAGATCAATGGTGTAGAGGAAGGGGATTGAGGGTTGAGGGGAGGGAAGAGGGACAAGATAAGGAAAGAACAGTGAAATGGATCTGACCTGACTTTCCTTTTTCCTTTTTCTATTTTTAATGTTCCTATATACATATATGAATATGTCACAGTAAATTGCACAGTCATGGAATATATATCCACAAGGCACTAAAGACACTGACTTAAAAAAAAACTAATAATAAATACCTGAAAGATCCATAGAATAAAAAAGAATGTAACAGGGGGAGAGGAGAGAAGAAAGGAGGGAAGAATCAGGGATTTAATTAGAGCAAATTATATTCCATGCTTTTGCACTTTTGTCAAAATAAATCCTAATGTTATGTATAACTAAAAACAACCAATAAAAAATGCTCATTCAGTGAACAACTCAAATAAGCATAAAAGGGCCTTTTTTT